CAGAGCCCGACGCGGGGCTCGAACTCACGGACCGCGAGATCGTGACCTGGCTGAAGTCGGATGCTTAACCGACTGCGCCACCCAGGCGCCCCAGGACTGATATTTTAAATACAACATATGGGGCGGGGGGGAGCACCTCGGTGGCTCAGTCGGTTGAGCGTCCGATTTTGGCTCAGGTCATGATCTCACGGTTCGTGGGTTTGAGCCCCATGTTAGGCTCCATCCTGACAGCTCAGAGCCTGGAGCCTGCTTCAGATTCTGTTTTTCTGCTCTCTGCTCCTCCCCCACTCACACTGTGTCTCTTTCTGTCTCAAAACTAAACATTAAAAAAAAAACCCTACTTTTAAATAAATACATAAATAAATACAACATCTGGGCAATGCAGAATTTATACAAGAGGATACTAACTTGGAACCAAAAATACCACCTTTTGCGCATGTATCATAATGTTAATCAGTTTGCCGTTGAACCAAATGGGGACTGCGGTTGTCAGAATGTCTGTTACAAAGGATGAAACTCCTATTTAATATCTTGTGGCCCACTGGTTTCAAGTGACTTAGACAAAGTGATATAGCTAGTAGTAGAGCCTAGACTCAGAAGAAACAAAACAATGCAATTAAAAAAAAAAAAAAAAAACAGACTTCTAGGGGTGCGTGCCTGAGAGGCTCAGTTGGTTAAGCATCTGACTCTTGGTTTCGGTTCAGGTCATGATCTCATGGTTCCTAGGATTGAGCCCTGCATCTGACTCTGCCCAGACAATGCAGAGCCTGCTTGGGATTTTCTCTCTCTCTCTCTCGCTCTCTCTGCCCCTTCCCTGCTCCTGCTGTCTTTATCTCTAAAAAAAAAAAAACCTAAAAAAAAAAAACAAAAAAAAAAAAACCAGGCTTCTAACTCCCAGTCCACATCTAAAATTTGTTTCATATAAAAAACTAAACTTTTACACTGAGGCAACAATGCTGCTTTTTAAAGCTCTGGGTAGCAGAGGTCCTGTTGCAACATATTGTTGGAAGCAATATTTTTTATCTTAGAACTATAGTCAGACTAACTTTTGGTAGTTACATTTCTAATATTTGAGGATTTAGGGATCAGATTTTAAATCTGATTCTATAATACATTATCATTCCACAGCCCTTCCACATATAATCCTAATCCTGGTCTCCGAAATGCTGCTCTACTCCTTCTCAGGGGGGGGTCTTAAAGGTTTTGGTCTTAAAGGAATTGCTTCATATTTCATTTTTTTTCCCCTAGATTTCTAGTTCATTGTCAATATTTGAGATTTGATAACTGTACCCAAGTTCACATGCTCTGTTTTCTTTCTAGCGTTCTTTGCAGTTTTCACAATAAAGCTAGAATAAAAAATATAAATCTGATTATTTCACTCTCCACATTTTACCTTAGTGCCTCTCCACTCAGGATAAAGTACAAGCTTAGTATTTGTAATCGAGCTTTCCTTCCCATCCAGGCTCATTACTCACCCATTTTCTAGCCCTCAACTTTAGCAGCAACCACTTTGAATTCCTTTGCCTTCCACCTCCCCACCATTCCCTGCTTTATTTAACTTGTTTAACACCTCTCTTAACAAGTCAAAAACAATCAGTTTTAATGTCTTTGAGAAGCTTTCCCTGACTGTCCAAAAGTGGTTTCGGACACCCTCATTGTTCTTTAGCTTCTCCGTATGCTTACCTTTAGCATGATGCTTGACTGCATACTGTACTACAATTGCATACTAATTTGTTTTCTGCACTAGTCTAAGTTTCTTGAAGGCAGGACTCTGCTGCTCAATCCTTGATAGAGCATTTGAGTGTATCTAGGAGTAATGCACATAATTTTTTAAATGGATGAGTAAATGTACTACAGAGTTTTACCCAAAGCCCCTGGCTTCACTGTCTTCTTTTTTTAATTTTTTTTTTTGTTGTTGTTAATGTTTGTTTATTTTTGAGAGAGAGATTGAGAGAGTACAAACGGGTAATGGCGGAGAGTGAGACCCAGAATCTAAAACAGGCTCCAGGCTCTGAGCTGTCAGCACAGAACCTGATGTAGGGCTCTATCCCATGGACTGAGAGAGCATGACCTAAGCCATAGTCGGATGCCCAACCAACTGAACCACCCAGGCGCCCCCACTGTCTTCTTTATAGACCCCCATATGTGTTTCAATCCCTAGAGTTTTCTGCAATAATCTCCTGAAGAAGGTGAAGCTGGGGAGATGCAAAAAGGTGGGAGCCAAGCATAGCAAAACAAAGCTGAAGAAGGAATCATAGATACAGGTACTGCTTTTAAGAAGTAGGCTCTTAACAGAGATACAGATTAGCATGCAATGATCGGGTTTTTTTTAAATGTTCATTTATTTTTGAGAAAGAGTTGAGCAGGGGAGAGACAGAGAGACGGAGACACAGAGTCCAAAGCAGGCTCCATTCTCTGAGCTGTCAGCACAGAGCCTGATGCTGGGCTTGAATTCACGAACCACAAGATCATGACCTGAGCCAAACCACAAGATCATGACCTGAGCCAAAGTTGGGCACTTAACTGAGTGAGCCACCCAGGCGCCCCAACATGCAATGATCTTAATTGGCAAAACAACAGACTCCACTCTAAGGATTATTGGGTAACCACTGGCCAAGCACACCTCTTGACTCCAAAGGTTTATGTTGCATACCCAAATTCTTGTTCAGTCTAGCCTTGAGTCCCAAGTCACTCACCTGGGGCAAGGCAAGCAGGAAGCTAAGTCCTCAGGCTGTCTCCAGAAGTTTCCTTCCAGCTGAGCGGGGTCCATGCGAGTGGAGTACTGCTTCCTGGCGGTGGAGTCCAATGACCACAGGCAGGAAGGCTGCAGCATACATGGCCATTAGTTTCAGGAACATGAGTGTCCGACACGCAATGTCCCCGGCCAGCCATTGAACAGTGATATTCCAAGTGGCATCTAGGGGCCACAAAGGTGACAAGTCAGTAGCTGCTAATTGGGCAAAGAGTTGCACAGGGGAAGGATGGAGTTGGCTGGGTCGTGGCCGAGTCACTGACCACAGCATGGTCAGGTTCCCTACAGCCAAAGAAACAGTACAATGGTCAGTCCCACTCAGACCTTGGCTGCAGCTGAGAAGGTGAGGAGCTCTGATCCCACCACCTCTACTGATCCCGCCCAGACCTCCTCCTCCGCAGCTAACCCCCGAGGGGTGCCTTGCCTATAGACATGGTGGTCTGGAAGGGAAAGGGGTGAGGGGATGGAGGGTGAGTATGAAGAGGTTAGCTTCGTCCACTGAGTCTTCGCCCTTCTTATTAGGAAGGGTTAGCTGGTTAGTGCGAATTTCGTCCACTAAAGCCTCTGTCCCTGGAGACTCTCCATCTGTATTCTGGAGGTCACCGGCCAACCGTCAGGGTCCTGCGGGGAGCAGGGATCTGGTGCTAGCTTCTACTCCCATAGACTTCTTCAGCCTCTAGAGCCCTGGATTTGGCCGCAGCGTGCGTGTGTGTGTGTGTGTGTGTGTGTGTGTGTGTGTGTGCGCGTGCGCGCGCGCGCGCGCGCTGGGGGTGTTTTGGAAGCATCCCCGGGGAGGGGCAACCCTATCCCAGCCGCCGAGGCGACCTGGCATCTGCGCCTTCTCGCCCCGCCCCTGCTCCTGCAAGCCCCGCCCCCAGTCCAGATTATTTAAAGAAGAATGTGCCGCCTGAGACGTGCTTAGGAAACAGAGGCCACCACACACACACAAACACGGCAGGTGTTGGCCCAGGACAAACGCTTCCCATTCTGAAATTCCGCTTCCGAGGCCGGCCCCACTCATTTTCTTTTCGGAGGATGTTTGTCCCTCGCGAGCGACCGTTGGCTCGTCCAGGAGGCGTGACTAGGGGCGGGAAGTGGGGCGGGCGCGGGGCTGCGGAGCCGGGACTGCCGCTGTCATGGACGCCTGGGTTCGCTTCAGTGCTCAGAGCCAGGCCCGGGAACGGCTGTGTAGGTGCGGCCCGAATAGGAATGGGGGTGGGGGCAGAAGAAGATCCTCGTGAGGCGAGGTCCGTTCACACTACGGGGGTCACAAAAGGTCAACTCG